CAGTTTTATTTAAAATAAATTTTATTAATCAAAACATGAGCAGATACAATATATAATTTTCTCAACGTAATATGTGAGTGCATACATATATAAGCACTATAGAAATCTAAATTTTTAGTAACGAAGAATCCTTCGAAAGCGGTATTGACTTCATTTTTCAATTTTTTCCACTAAAAAGTAATTTAGGTGTTTAAAAAAAAAATGATAATTAGTTGGTGAGAAACCTGGCGAACATAGTGAATGAAGAAGAATCTCATATTGTAAATAATTCAGTTTCGTTACTGTTGGTGATACATGTAGTTGAGTATTGCATGAAGCAAAATAACATAATGTCTATTGACTGATGCAGACAGTCTTATGCATAATTTTTCATGCATTTGCTAGAGTTCTACATAATATTTTTCGATAGTAATAGTTTTATTGGAGAAACGTATAATGAGTAACATCATTTGCAGACTATCTAATAATCACCACAATCTTTTCTGAGTGAAGACTTCGACAGGTTTTGTTATTTCATCAATGTCAAATCATTATACAGATCGTTGGTAATTATCATATAGAATCTATTTTTCACCATATATTACAATTGTATGCAAGAAAGAATATCTTTTGTTTTGTGCAAAAAGTATAAAGTTCCAATCGGCTTTCCATAGGTCTGTTTTTTTTCGCTACACTAAAACTGCACTTGAACTGAACTGAACCGCAATGGGAAAGACTAGTACAGAATAGTTTAGTTCAGTGCAAAAGTGCAATGAAGAGGTCTGTTCGTTTTCGCTGCACCGCTGAAACGCTAGAGTATAGTAAACAACATGGCGCATCACATGGCATTATTTGATTCTTCTGACGAAAAGGATTTTGTTGTAATACAACCACTATTACATTTATTAATAATTTATAATATTATATACCGATCATAAATTTAAATCAATGACTAAATATAAAATAAATATAAAATCATAAAGATATCTTGACCTCTTAAATTCATCCTTGTGGTATGTTTGAACATTTCTGCTGTGTATGTGTGTGTGATGGTATAATATTAACAATTTTTGAAAGTGAAATAAAGAAGATGTTTCATACATTTCAATGTAATGCAAGCCACATACCTGATAGAGACTTTTCGTATAAATTTCCGTTACGCTACATGCACTTTCAAGCTACACTTTGCACTGCACTGACCACATTACCTCCTGACTCAGTGCAACAGTTTATTGAACTGCCTACATGCTGTTACACTGCGAAAACGAACAGCGTTGATGACGTCATTCTCGATAAAAAGAACGCTTTAGTGTAAACTCCTTGCACTGGTGTGCACTAGTGCAGAAAATGTTTAAAAAAAACATCTCATATTTCTTTCTGTTTCATGAAAAATCTATTTATCTAACTTTTTCACTTTCCCATTAACTTACAAATTACGGGACATAATAATATACATCTAGCTTTTCTGTGATATCTTGTATAATTTAGAGAGTATTGGATTTTATTAAAGACCGTAACTCATTATTGTCAATGACTTCTTGGGATCATTCAGGTAGCTCAATTTCAGGATTCATATCATATCATTATCGAAATTTTTCAACTTATATTGTTGTATTGTTGTATCGTTGTATTACCTATTCGCTAACTGTATTTTCTCCAAATACTACATTGTTGGTGTGATTTTCTTCAACTGCATTATGTCCAAGCTTAAACATAGGAGAATTATGGAATACATGTTTTTGATTTTAATTATACATTATCTCCTATTTTTTATTCCGTTTCGCTTTATATTCAATTCAGAGATGATATAATCTAGTGCTTCTCTACAATAAAACTTATATTTTAAGTTGCCATATTACTCGCACCATTTTCCAGCAATTTTGATTATTAAGACTAACCAGGTCATGTTGCGATATCGGCTATTTCATATGCGATATATACTATTTCATGTTGCAATATCGGCTATTTCATATGCAACAACTTATACATGCTACTAATAACATGCTAATAACATACATTTAATTTATATTAAACTTAGAAGAAATAAACATGAAATATTTATTTCTGATATAGATAAAATTTGGTATATTGGTACAGTAATTAAAATTAAGAGATTTTAAAGTTTTAAATTATTATTGTTCCAAAAAAAAACAATATATAAAAATCAAATAGCCAATATATAGGAACCGAAGCACGGATGTTTTAGTGCTATATTTAATAGCAATATTACTGTTATTAATATTATTGTATAGGAGGATATAGATGTCCATCGCGAATATACGAATTTTTACGCTAAACGAAATACAATTCCCAATTTTTCCAAATATGGACCGATCCTAGATTCCAGATCAAAATTCCCTCGCGATACTCTCTTAAGGGGGTCATCCCGTGTGACGGCTTCAAAAAATCGATTTTTTTTTTGCATAAATCTAATCTAGAGCTATTTCTAACGCGTTTTTTTCTCAAAACTGGATTTTTTTAACTGGTGCAACTGGTGCCCATGATTTTTCGAAAACAGTTCAATGGATTTAAATAAAATTTTAATGGTAGATTCAGCACATGTGTGGCTATCGTGGGAACTAGGATTTTTTGAAAATATTAAAAACTCAATTTTTCGCATGCTTTTAAAAATTATAACTCAAAATAGCATGATTTTTTGCAACTATTTTTATATGCGGATAGAAAACGGTTCAATATTTTTTAAAAATTCTAGTTCCCACGATAGCCACACATGTGCTGAATCTTCCGTTAAAATTTTATTTAAATCTATTAAATCGTTTTCGAAAAATCATGTGCACCAGTTAAAAAAATCCTTTGCCAAAATTACTTTGTCAGTATATTCTATATACTGTTCTAGATTAGATTTATGCAAAAAAAAATCGATTTTTTGAAGCCGTTACACGGGATGACCCCCTTAATTACTTAACTAATTATGTTGTGAAAAATATTACCTAAGCCTCAATGGTCGAATGCTACGACGCTTTGCCCGACCAACAAAGAGGATCCGGATTCAAGTCCTAGTCAAGGTGATATTTTTCGCAATATAATTGAATTATTAAAAGAATGGTACAATCTGTTCCACAAGAGCGTACGGCTCCGCATTTCATTAATAGATGGCGCACAGATGTTAAGTCCAGTTTTTCCGATTTTTTGAACAGTTAGGAAGAATGCTTTAAGGTTATAAGGGTAGTGTGACTTGTTTTGTCTGTAGCAGAGCAAAATAAACACAATAGGTCTGTTTTTTTTCGCTACACTAAAATTGCACTAGAACTGCACTGAACTGAACTGAACCGCACTGGGAAAGACTAGTACAGAACAGTTTAGTGCAAAGTGCAATGAAGAGGTCTGTTCGTTTTCGCTGCACCGCTGAAACGCTAGAGTGTAGTAAACAACATGGCGCATCACATGGAATTATTTGATTCTTCTGACGAAAAGGATTTTGTTGTAATACAACCACTATTACATAGCAAATTTATTAATAATTTATAATATTATACACCTTACAGATCATAAATTTAAATAAATGACTAAAAATAAAATAAATATAAAATTATAAACATATCTTGACATCTTAACCCTTTGCGTTCGAGGCCTTTTTCGCTCGAGCGAACCAGCAACTCGAGAGGAGTTAGCTCCCGCTTATTTCATGAGTTTTTTACAGTTAACTTAAAATGATAAGACATCTCTGTAGCCATTACCTCATAAGATTACACACAAAGAGCTAGGAGTAGACTCGTGAAGCGATATTCGTTAGGTCAAATCTAAATAAACACCGTTATCGCTCGATTTGCCGCCTCGATCCTAGTGGTGCCTGAGAGGCACCTCTCGAGCGCAAAGGGTTAAATTCATCCTTGTGATATATTTGGACATTTCTGCTGTGAGTGTGTGTGTGTGTGTGTGATGGTATAATATTAACAATTTTTGGAAATTAAATAAAGAAGATGATTTACACATTTCAATATAATGCAAGCCACATACTTGATAGAGACTTTTCGTATAAATTTCCGTTACGCTTACATGCATTTCCAAGCTACATTTTCATGCACTGCACTGACCACACTACCTCCTGATTCAGTGCAACAGTTCACTGAACTGCCTGCACTATACTTTGCACTGCAAAAACGAACAGCGTTGATGACGTCATGATGACGTATTCTCAATAAAAAGAACGCTTTAGTGTAAACTCCTTGTACTGATGTGCACTAGTGCAGAAAGTGTTAAAAAAAAAAACAGACCTAATGAGTGCTGTGTATGCAAGTCGTTTTGAAGTAGTGTTTCTTTATACACATCCGAAAAGACCGAAAATGTATGCAACTGCTGGCCGCTACATGAAAAAGTCAGAGGGTTTCGTTAGGAAGTGGGTGAAACGTTAAACGAAATAAAAGTGTTGACGATCGGAACGTGGCACCTGGTGCTCAAGGATGAAAAAGGACGACAAAGCTATCATCAAGATATTTGATAAGAATTCTGGGTGTTCGTTACGGCAAGCGAAGAATCTTTTATTGAAAAAGAGTGTAGAAGTGAGCTTTAACCCTTAGCTGACACACGTCAAAATAATAACGTACGTGCTATAGGGGGTATTTTGGACCTCAACGAGAAAAAATGTGTATAATTGTTTTATTTATCAATATTGGGTCAAGCCTCGACTAATACTAGGTGACGCCACAGAACCAAATTTGGCGCGCAACTATGAAAAATTTGCGTTCAAAAACACTCTGGGATACTTTTAACCTCGTGTGTCAGCTAAGGGTTAATATTACAGGGTCTTCCATTAACACGTTCGTCGCCGCGTCACCCAGATCTGGGTGACGGGTATGCTTCCGTGGGGGCCCCGTCACCCAAATATGGGTGACGCTCTTCTTATTTAAGTTAATACGACTTTCAGGTGGATTTTTAAAACGAATTTAATTGAATCAGTACTGAAATATAAATATAGGATATACAACATAAAAATACTAAAAATATACATATTATACTATACTTTTTACTAATTTATATTTAAGATAACATATTGCATTATACTATGTCGTATGGTGTGCGTTGAAACATTGTAAACACATTTGTGGTGAATTCGGACAATTGGAACAATAGGTCGTAGTTTTTTTTACATTTTTTTTTGCTTCTTGTCGTTCAGCAGTTTGCCTCCTTTTCCGGTAACATAAGACGCACATCCTTCTTACAGGCTTGCCCTGCTGATTCGTACGAATCTCCAGCTTATGGGACACGTTCCTTGTTTTAGTCCTATTATCATCGAGCGTAGAATTTTCCGGGGACAACCATTCGGCAACAAGCAGCTCTCGAAATTTTCTTATTTCCATTTTTTTATTTTTGACTCTCTGATATACGATGTGAGCATTTACTACACTTGTACCCAAAAGCAAATGTAGTGCTAATTTGCGATACCACTTGATACTTTTCCGTATCGTTGTGGCATATGACACCATCTGGTCGCTCCTGTCGATGCCAGTTTTTCCATTGTTATAAGCAAGTACCGCCAAAGGTTTCTGTTTAGGAGGACGTCCGCGATGAGTAGAATCCGTGGTTGATGTCATGATAGGTGGATGTTTTGTTGATAACATCATAACATCGCGAACGTCCCTCCACTTTAGCACCATAATACCGTTGTCGTCTTCTCTTGATGCCATATCACCTCTCTTCAGTGGGTACGACATTACAGAATGCGGCATAAATTTTTTGTTATACCGCACAGTCCCAACGACATGCGTCTTGAATTGTAAAAATTTTAGTGCTAATTTATAACTGGTATAAAAGTTGTCGACAAACAAAGTTCGTCCCTCATTTATCAATTTATCTGCTAGTTCAATGCAGACGTTTTCCGCTAGGCCAACTTGCCTTCTTCCGCTGGTATCTCGTCCAGAATATACTTTCGCCGACCATGTATATCCTTCGGTGGAGCACAATTTGAACAGTTTTATACCATATTTATGGGATTTCGTTAGGATATACTGCCTGAATATGAGTCGTCTCCTCCAAGGAACCATTGTTTCGTCTATTACAATATCTTCACCTGGTGAAAAGACTTTTTGGTAATTATCTATCAATAGGTTTAGGAGTGGCAAAACTTTTCCGAGTCTGCTACCCTCTTCTATCGTTTCGTTATTTGCAAAATGCAAGTTTGCTAACAGTAACTTAAAACGATTACGAGACATCTTGCTGCGCGGAAATGGGAAGTTGTAGATCGGGTCCGTTGACCAACATCTAACGAGCGGTGTCTGTACCAGACCCATCCAAATCATCAGTCCTATAAATTTTTTAATTTCTGCAGAAGTGGTGGGTTTCCACCTGTTCAATCGAGCATGCTCAGTCGTTTCTTGTTGCAATTTTTGCTCTGCATATCTGTTGGTCTCTGTGACTAAAAGGCTTATCAGGTTTTCATCCAAGAAGAGCGAAAATACTTCACTTGCCCTAATGTCAGACGGCAAATCCATGAGAAGGCCACTTTTTCCGGTGAACGTAAATGATTGTTGCGTGTTAGCAAATTCGTTCCACTGGATATGGTCCAATGAATCAGCAACAGAGTTCTGCTCCTCTTCTTCGTCCACAGCAAGTTCTTCTAACATGTCGTCAAGGTCTTCACTTGCATATGATTCCTCAGTATCGGAGTTTGAACTCGATGAAATTCTATTTAGCACTTTTCTTCTAAAACTCACTACTTCGTCACCACTATTCTCCTCACTTTCAATTATATTTTTACGCCGTCCAATGAACATTTTGAGGATAAAAAAATCACCGACGTGCGTCTCAAAAAAAGTATGCTTCTCGACTAAATGAAGGATCTGGGATAACTGCAGTGAGATCCCAGACAGTCCTCTAGCCGAAAACCTTATCGCTCTCCCCATTTTAGAACTAAATACTTTGTTATGAATCGAAGGTTCGAAAACGTTACTCGAGTGCCTACTCGAGTTACATCCCTGCTATTTCCCGCTTATCGCTCTGTTTATGTTATGTTTCGGCGCTCCGACAGTCGGATTTGGGCCCCGGGAGAAACTCAGCCGAATCGCGCTGGGCGACGAACGTGTTAAGAAGTTTCATTTTAAGTTTCGCGGCATTTTGTACCTGTTATAGATGGAATTGTCATATTTGACAATTGTCGAGTAAAAACTATGTGGTTAATAACAATAGATCGATATTCGTTTAAACAACGCACAGAAATAGTAAAAACTCACTACAAACACGGTGAAAATTTCGTGGAGATAGTTCGCAAAATCCGTGCCAGTTTCGGTCGCAAAGAAGCATCTTCTCGTCCAGCAATTGTAAATTTAATCGATAATTTTGAACGTCTCGGCCAGGTTAGTGATGTTAAGAACTCAATCTGTGCTCGGCCAGTCAGATCAATCGAAAACGTTGCTGCTTTGGTTGAAAGTATCGCGGAAAGTCCTGGTTTGTTTATTGCGAGACGTTCGCAGCAATTGAGCATTTCACAAACCAGCCTGCACCGCATTTTGCATAAAGATTTTGGCCTATATACTTACAAAATCCGACACACACAAGAATTGAAGCCGACGGACCATGGACAACGCCGTACGTTCGTCGATTAGGTATTGGAAATGCAAGCAGTTAACTCTGATTTTTTCAAGAAAATCATTTCGAGCGATGAGGCCCATTTCCACTTTCAAGGATATGTCAATAAGCAAAACTGCCGCATCTAGGGTGCTGAAAACCCAAGAGCGATTGACGAGCAACCTCTCCATTCACAATGAGTGAGAGTTTGGCGATTTTTGGGTTTGCGGCGTCATCGGGCCGTATTTTTTTCGAAAATGAAGATGGTTGCACTGTCACAGTCAATGGATTGCACTACTGAGAAATGTTGACAGACTTTCTTTGGCCTGTAATTGAAGAACTGGACCTAGACGATGTTTATTTCCAGCAGGATGGGACTACGTGCCACACAAACCGTGTTTCACGATTGCATTATTACGTGAGAAGTTCCTTGGACGTATCATTTCGCGTAATAGAGACTTCAATTGACCGCCCAGATCGTGCGATCTGATACCCCTGAATTTTTTCCTTTGGGGTTATGTGAAGAATAAGATTTACACAAATGCTCCGCAAGCGATTCAAGCACTCAAAGACAATATTCGAACTGTTATTGGCCAAATTGAGTCGCAATTGTGCGAAAACGTAATGGAAAATTTCCTCATAAGAATGAAAAAAAAGTCGAGGCGACTATTTGGATGATATTGTGTTCCACGTTTAATTGCGCAATCTGTACTTTAGATTAGAATAAATATATCTCAACGTTTTCAAAAACTTATTCCTTTTTTTTTTTAATTTAAAATAAAACCTTTTAATGGAAGATCCTGTATTAGACGACGATTACTTGATTCCGAATACGGCTAGCGGCCCACAAAATTAAAACCTTTTTGAGCGCAAAACACGTCGAAAAACGGCTGGAGTAGACAAAGGCTAATATTGACCGTGATTTTGCCAATGTAATTTTCACCGATGAATCATCCTTTTAGGCCTGGAAGGTATGCGTGATCGACTCGTCACGATCCCGTTATTCAACGTACAGTAAAACATTCAATGAAAGTACACGTGTGGGGATGCTCTGTAAACAGGGATTTGGTACTTTATATCTCTTCACGGACAATCTGAATGCACAGAAAATGAACATGATTTATCATAAGTGTTTATTGAAGTCTGCTCAAAGATAATTTAGCTTAGATAATAGTTCATGGGTGCTTCAAGAGGATAACGACCCAAAACACCGAAGTCGTGCGTGTATGGAGTGAAAACATGAAAATGGCATCACTACAATGGATTGACCTTCCCAGTCGCCTGATGCCAATCCCATCGAAAACGTGTGGGCAGTCATGAAGATCAAACTCAGGAAAAAGGTTTTTCACTTAAAGCAGCTCGTTCGTCATATACGGGAAATCTGGAGATCTCTTTCTGAGACAAAGGGTGAAAATCTCGCGGAAAGCATGCCCCGACTATGTCAGGTCATACTCGATAACAAAGGAGATTGGACAACTTACTAAGTAAACGCATTTTAGTTTATTGAATTTATTAATAGATCCAAATCAGATTTTTAACGATTTTGTGTTTTTCTAGAAGAAACAGCCCGTACGCTCTTGTGGAACAGACTATATCACGACGGAATTATGATCTCGAATCTAGGGTCGGTCTAAACATGGAAAAATCGGGAATCGCGTTTCGTTTAGCGTAAAAATTCGTATATTCGCTATATACGATAGATATATTTATTTTTCCACATAATAATAATGTTAATATTAATATTAAATATAGTACCAAAACAACGTATTTTGGTTCTTATTGACCATTTTAATTTCTATATAAAATTAAGAGATATATATATTTTTATCTGCTAAGATGCAAGTTTAATGCGTGAAACTATCCTTTAAAGTTTTAATACCTGAATATTTTTTCAACTAATGAGAGGACTGTATGATGCGGCCACCAATTTTAGTTAAACTTTTTTCTTTTTTTGTTAAACTTGTGTTTAGTTTTATATAATTTTTATAATTCATTTTTATAATTCACATATCTTCTTTGTTACATTTATAAATTATAATATTTATAAGTTTTAGTAAATATGCAAATTACTAATGTCGCCTCCGATATGTTTGATCTTCATATATGTTATTAAGAATAGCAAGAATATTGTTGCGCCCTTCACATACCTGCGTCCGTTTATCGTGATACCATGACACTCCTGAATTCGCACATCCGCCACGAATAAATAGATACCATGAATGAGAAAGGAACTTGCTATTTAATGGGGAACATACAATTATTTACTCGCCATGATAATAATGAACCGTGAGACCGGCACGTCTCTCGTCGACGGCTTGTGTTCGACTCTCTCTCCTCAACTGTTGTTTCTGTATTTATTTGTTGCTAAGGTTCCTTACTCTTTCATTAATCCATTTTGATCTCTCAACCTCTCGAACTTTCTTGAGACAGCTGGGCACGGACGCAATAATATGTTATCAAGGATAAGGAGTAACAAACAAAAGGTTTTAGTTGACGGTCATTTTTTATTAAAAGGTTATTAACAAAAGAAGTTAGAAAATATAAAGTAATTATGTAGTTACAGGGACCATCTTCCAATCTCAATAATTTTAAGATATGTTGTCGAAGACATTGTCTTAAATAGTCTTTAAAGAGTTTAGCTCATTGTTTATTAAAAAGTTACCAACAAAAGAAGTGTAATGAGTGGAATGTAATTCTGTAAATATTTAGATTAACTAACTCACCTCCAATGACCTCCATTTGATATGTGTTGTCGAGGTCATGTCCCTAAATAACATGCAAAAAGTTTAAGCCGTTGCTTGTTAATTGTTAAAAAATTATAAACAAAATTTTATAGAACAGTTTTTTGACATTGTATTCAATAAGTTGAAAAATATATGATGCGTGTTATATACAAATATCCACTACATACTGAGGCTTTTGTTTTTCTGGTCTTCTGTTTTGATTTTTTTGATCAAATGTGTTAAGCATTCTTATTCCGTATATGTGCTTGGTTCAGTAGTCTTCGTCAGTGTGCCGTATAACCATGTGCCAATCAGTTAGATAATTTCAAGACAATTTCTCACATTTCCAACATATATTTGCATGAATTTATCAATATGACAATTATACAGGTGACCACGAGGGAGGGGTTTCGTCTTTCCCCGCTGGTTAATTTAACCTAACCTAGACCCATTCTCTTCTCATGAGTAAAAGTTATAACTTTACGCAAGTTCGAAATTATACAGAAAAATAACAATTTTCTATCCGATAAAGAAATGAAATAAAGCGTTAGGTACAAATTTTATTTACGAAGAAGAGATGGCTTTAGGTTAAGTTAGCTTAAGCGGAGACTTCCCTTTCCATGGTCACTTGTACATTATCATTCTTATATCAAATTATATCTTCTAGAATTAAGAATATGTTATATTTTGTGTTATATTTTTCAAAAGTATTATATTTTTCAAATTTATTTTATTCATAACTTTTTAAGAAACAATGACCGCCAACTCTACTACTAAACTCAACTACTCCTTTCCCTGAGGAAGTTCTTCAGGGTCATGTCTTTGATAACATATAAAAGTTAGAGATATTAGAGATGACACCAGTATTCTGTATATTTACTATTATTTTAATTATTTGAAAAATAAAAATAATTGTTTAGATAATTAAAATTATTAATGTAATATAATAAAGATGAATTATAAGTATAATTATAAAAAATTGAACAAGTTTAAAAAAACAAGAAAAAATATGATACCAGTATACGAATTGACGTTCTGCGTACTATGAGTCTAGTACACTACCGTTGAACTACTGAATATGTCTTACATGCAGTGCAAATATTAAACAACTTACGCAAGAATTTACATAGTTCCTATTTTCTTATTTATTTTGAAATAGTTCCCCTTACTGCTTAGCTCACCAGTTTTTGGGAACGTACTATATTCTTATCGAATTTGATAAAAATTAGTGACCATAATGTCGTGCCATCCCCTCGTAAATGAAATATTGTTTGTTTGAGGTACTTGTATGGTTGCGAGTAAGTTATCTTACATGTTGATAAAACTACGTTGGACAGTTCCTTATACATTGCATTCAATATCTGGCAAGATTTATATATGTGCAATGGATTACCTTAGAGCCTGTTTCGACTCACTGGTGCTAGGATCGAAGGTAGCAGAAAGGTATAGACAGAGAAAGAAAGATGCATGGTGTAACGTGTGCTTTCCCAAGCATTGCCCGGTGGCGTCTTTATTAGTGGCGGATCACCATATACAAATAATCTACAAGTAACGCGCGAGTTCGCGTGTTACGGGCGATTCCGCAGAATGCTGCATGCGTGACTGATCTGATCCACGGCACGTGGAGACTTTCGAAGGCGCGGAGCGCTGAGTCTGCGGGCGATGCTGCGAGGCAGGAGGTTGTAGTCCACTGGTCGGTGGTCGCATTAATATCAAGGGGATGGCGTGTTGTCGATTCAATGAAGTGGTAGTCGCCCTAACGCAGGGGGACGATGTAACATCGACCCGAAGGATCGGGAACGGGGTCCAGACTGTTCGTCAATACTTCGTTGGAAAGTTGTGCGCGAGGTGATAGTGCGGTGTTGCTTAATGTTCTCGTTATATTACGTATTCTAATACGAGAGTTAGTGAACTGATTCTTATTCTGTGTTCTCAACGTGTTTTTATACTATTCGCGTTAATACTTTGCATTTTTTTGCGGTAGCGTTATCGGATGAGTTTGCGGTTTTAAGTTTCGGCACGGGTTGTTTAGCCGTTCGATTCGGTTGTTATCGTGCACACCTATTTGTATTTGGTCGCGTCGGAGCGATTCGCTGGTATTTGGCGGTGCTCAGTATTATACGTGCTTAGCTGCGGTTATTCGGCGGCTTACTATTCAGCGCTATATTGGGGAAGTGACGTCGTAACGATTCGGCGATGACATGCCGAACCGTTCTTTCGTAATGATGCGTGCAACAAAGCTTGGTCTACAATGTGTTCTTTGCATATTGTTTCCTTACTTCTGCCTCTTGTTTCTCGTCTTTTTGTCGTCTAGAGTCAAGTAACGTCGTCATGTACAATTTGTTTCTTCTACTATATCGCATAGACTAATTACATAATAAGACAGTTTTGTTTTCACAGGCTGACTAAATTATGATATTCTTTAAGATAATATGTTCATTATCTCAAATATCAAAGTGATATGCTCATCCAAAAGGTCCTCGTCCGACATGTTTATAAAAATTTTAGTCTTGACTTTATCGCTGTCACCATATAAACTCTTGATGTGTGTGAAGTTAGCACCGCTATTTTGAAAATCAAAGAAAAAATTGTGCTGAGTTATGCTAGGTTTGTGCTATGTTGTGCCGAAAGAAAAAATTGTCTACTTCAAAGAACAAAGTTAATTTAAAAAATCAATTTTTTTTTACCAGCACCGCCATTTTCGGAGGAACAAAAGTGCTGGTTAGAACCTTGCCTACTGTACATTGTGCCGTAAAGATAATAACTCTACTTCTTTCTGTTCAAGATGTAACCGCATGGCGGTGCCGATCGGTTCCGGTTTCGGTTTCCCGTGTCCAGTCTTGGCGTTCCTATTTGGGCACCTTTTTGTGACGATTCGATCGGTCGGTCGGTAGTCGGTACGATTGACCGTTCTGCATTACTTTGTCCGGGGTTTCTGCTGGGTGTCAAGAGGAAATTCGGTCGCGAACTCTCCTGTTCGCTACGTCGCCGGTGGTCCCGGGATTGCTCACCGGATTACCAAGCGTTCTTTTGAAGAGTGAGTGAGCGAGTGAGTGAGTGAGTGAATCTATCGAACTCCCTTTATTCGGTGGACTAAGGACGGTCAGACTCTAAGTCCGAGTGTCGGCGTACAGTTTGTTGGTCGAGCACCGTGTAGAGCCGGTGGCCCGGTGTTTTAATTTTACAACGAATTTCGGAGTGACAAGATGTAAATACTGGAGCGGTATGGTATGTATACACGGGCCGTCCCGTGTTTCGTGGAAATATGTTTTCAGTCTAGCTGGAACTCCGGTACGTCAGTTTCGCGGAATAACAACAGGTGCCGTGTGTACGCTGCGATGTACACACGATGTGTACACACGGCGTTCGGTGTGCGAGACGGCGTGTAAATGATCAGCATGACTGCGGGGAGTGGGCGCGTTATATAGCCGCGAGTTTACGCGTTGGCCTGTTGTCACGTTGACAAACACGCTTATGCAGCGGTAAGATCACGTCGTTGATCTCTCGTTTCGGGATGCGGCGAAGAACGGGTCACGGGCAGAGTGTACGCCACGGTGTGCATTCACTGATCGGTTTGCCCCGGTGGCGGATGATCCGTAGATTTCGCGACGAATGTATCAAGGGCCGGGCGTACGCGGTATCGCACACCTCGGTGCTCGGTTTGCCCGACGGTGACGTGCTGCTCTCGCGTTGATCGGGTCCCGGAAACGCGGTATTGTACTCCTCGGTAGTCGAGTGTACGCGGTATCGTGTTCTTCGATGTACGGGCCTAGCGGTGGCAAGCCTAACCGGCGTGGCGGCAAGGGGCGGGTGCAGCGCTGCTACGCGTCGGCTAGTCGTTGTAGTCCATCGGTTACGGTCGCTTAGCGGCGAGATCGGTGCGGTATCCCGGCGGTATTACCTGACGCGGACCAGACATACGCAGTATTGCATGTCTCGGCGTTCGGTGCGGTCAGCGGTGATGGTATTTGGGCGCGACACACGGGGCGCACGCTTGCCCCGGTGTTCGAGTTGTCCTGGTCCGGGAGTCGAGGCGACGAGGCTGAGAGTACTCGACAGAGATAGCGAATACACCACCTCGATTCGCTGCGATCCCCGATCCGCCCGGTCGGCGGGCGAGAGGGCCGGAAATTTCCGGTGGAGACAGCGAACGCACTGTTCCGGATAGGTGTTGGATTCGGCGCCCGCGATTTCCACGGGAGAGACTGCGATCGCACAACCTCGTTCTTGCCGGAAAGTAGGATGGTCGTATCCAAAGGCAGCGAACACGCGGCAGAGGCAGCGAGCGCACCGTCTCGTCTCCACAACCTGGGGATCGGGATCCGGAGCAGCCTGTGATCGGAACGACTCCGCCGATCTGGCTGACTCCGGTGGAATCGGTTCGCAATTTAGTCGTTCTGGCAGACTCCGTTAGAATCGCCCTTTTACCACGGCGGAGCGGGCTTATATACCGCTTCTGCCGCGGTTTTTGACGTGCTGTTACTTAACAACGGCATGTTGTTGGTTATTTGCCAAACACGTGACGGCGTGTTGTTACATACGTGCGTCACGTGTGCGCCTGTGATAAATGAACCCTTTTAGTGCCGAGCAAAAGTATCGTACCTATGCGAAGAATACCGAGCCAATTTGACGAATTTGCTAAGGTTTGGGAAAAAGCTAATAAAAACCAAACTAAAAATGATATTTACAAAATTCAAAAAGCAGCATATTACGAAAAAAAGAAAGAATAGAGTAATGCCAATTATATTTCAATATTTGTCGAAAATCATACGAATAATATCAGTATAAAACATGATGAAAAACATAGAAACAAATTTCTCTTCTACAAACAATATTTGCACATAAGAATAATCATCGTTTGATCACAGTTTTATATAGATCACGTAGTATGAAGTATAAGTATTACATTTTCAATCATTTTTAACAAAATAACAAACATCGGACCTGAGAACGAAACTGTCCTGTGTCGAGTTTCTACCTTATCGCTCCAGCGTATATAAAGCCTCGGCACCAACTAGCATAGAATATAACAAAAAGTTAAACCCAAAAACAATTTTTTTAATTCTTTTGCAATGAAATTAGACCGTTTCTAACGTTTTATAAATTTATTTTGAGATAGAGCTTTCTCGCAATGCAAATAGTAAGACGCCCTCGGATACGCGACGATATATCGTCCTTGGCATTTTTCGCAAGTGTGGCGAACAATGATATATCGTCATTCGGCACTAAAAAGGTTAATGTAGCGTAAAGCGCCGATAACGGCCCGACGGTTAGTCGGTCGGGCCGCGGGCGGTTTTTGGTGTGTGCTGCATCGTCACAAAGAAAAAAAAATTGAAATGTGAAATTTCCAACTGTAATATTTAATCACTTGTAACTTTTGAATCAATGCAGATAATCGAATTTTGCAACTTGTGCTGAATTGTTATAATCGAAATCAATAGAGGAATATTCACAGAATATACCGAAATTTGCAAGGTTGAAAAATAATTGGCCAAAAGGAATGGAGTTAAAACAAAAAATTCACATTTTTGAAATTCCTCTAGTTGAAATACAGATCAACAGAAGAATCCAAATACAAGTAGGCAAAGCGCTCTAACCAGCATAATTTTTGTTTTTTCGAAAATACAAAATGACCGTGTTGGTAAAAAAATTGATTTTTTTTATTTACAGCTTTGTTCTTTGAGATTGGCGATTTTTTCTTTCGGCACAACATAGCTTTCACATTCTTTAGGCACAAACCTAGCATAACTCAGTTGCACAACAATTTTGTTTTTTTTTATTTTCAAAATGGCGGTACTAACTTCACACACATAAACTCTTGTGCCTCTTATGTTTCTTGTCGCCCGAGATAAAAGGTAACGAATTCCAGAAGAGGCAAGCGACGAAACACAACTGTCGGTAAAACAGTATGACAAAAAGCAAAGAAACAAGAGATAAAAAACAAAACATAAAGAGCACATTATAGATCATGCTCAATGCATCGTTTTATATTCGTCTTTATTTCAACTTTCTCAGGAAAACCTCAGGTCACGTCAATTAAAGTCACGAGAACTAGAACAGTATAAAATTAACAGTAACATATGCAAGCATACTTATTATTCCGTAACGAACACCGTGATATCTATGTATAGTTTTATAATATCTAACAAATTATTTTTAATTCTTCATAAAAATTGACAGACATATTTTGTTCGCCCATTGTGTATTAAGGGGTTAGGCCAGTCCTAGGATTTTCAAAAAATCGAAATTTTTTTTTTGCTTAAAGTACACTTTAGGGTCCTAAAAACATTATTCAATTGGTAGAATAGTGAAAAAAAATTTTTTCCCTGTCCAATCCGCTGTAGTGTCGAAGCGTTCGGAGCGGGCGACGAGCGCATTTTCTACCTGCCGCGGCGGGCTTCCTTTTGTCCCCTTTTTACGACTCTTATCCTCTGCACTAATGTACCAACGGGGCCTGAGGGCTCTAATGGTTCCCCAAAAAGTCGTTAGGAAGTGCTAGTTCATCAATACAGCTGTATGTGTGGGCTTGTGTGTGGGTCAGTCAGCTGAAAAACGACGCCACGCGTGGACGCTTCTTTTTGTTTTCGTTAGTTTTTCTGCTTCAACGAATTACTTTATTGACTACAGTGGTTTTAACTGATAAATTATCATTGTTGACAATATGAGTGAATTATTAACAGATGCCAAGCCCAAGCACGATCACTGCCCGAGCGGAGAAAATTCGTGGTGCTCGTGGCAAAGGGCCAAGGCCACTGGAACTTTGGACGAATATACACATAAACCACCTTTACATGAAGAAGTATACAAGGCTATAACTCCAATTTATGAAAAATTAACCAGTGATGACTTACTCACTCGTTGCATAGGCGGCTTCACTCAAAACAGTAATGAGAGTTTCAACGCTACAGTATGGTCGATGGCCCCGAAAGTGACATCCAGTGGCAAAAATGTACTTGACACAGCTGTATATATTGCTGCAGGTACTTATAATGATGGCCTCACAAGTGCCATGAGAGTCATGCAGAACATAGGCATCAAAATTGGGCCGAACTGCTATAATTACTGTCAAGAGACTGATCAAAACCGCATCAAATTATCCGATCGTTCGCTCTCAGATGCTGCAAGAAGTCTCGAATCAAACAGAAGGCATCCAGAAAGGAAGAAGATGAGTTCCATGGAAGGTGAAATGTACGGCGCAGGCATCGCAGACTGAAGGTATAACAAAATTTTCAGCACGTAAAACTTTAAACGCGTTTTTCTCGAAACTGCATTTTTCAAATCGGGCGACGATGGTACTCGGAGACTATCGCACGTATCCACTTGAAATTTTAACTATAGCTTCACAGTAACATTATTTACTAAACTACGTACGATTTTTTTATCATTGCAACTTTTTTTTTTATAAACAATTTACTGCTCATTTTTTCGGTCAAAAATTGAACCTTTTTTTACAAGTCCGCCATTTTGCGAAAAATTGATATAAAGCTAAAAACATACGTATTTTACTAGCAAGTCTTATGTAGATTAAAGACCGTTCTTTATTTTGTTTCAGATAGCACGAGTTCCTAGAATCACCGTCGCCCGTAGAGGCCCTCTTGAAAAAGGTGATTCCGAAGATTGGCCCAGTAGCCGCCATTTTGATACAAAATGGCGGCTACTGGGCCAATCTTCGGAATCACCTTTTTCAAGAGGGCCTTTACGGGCGNCGATTCCTTTTTCCTTACTCCCAGAATAAATTGTCAAAGTTAGGCCTTTTTTGAGGGCTCTAGACTGGCCTAACCCCTTAACCTTTGGCTGTCAGAGGGCCGATCTTTCGGTCCGTAGTATGTATGCGAGAACTGTCACGGGCCGATACATCTGCTCCGTGTGTTTACATTATCAAATCGGCCCTGGCAGTCTTCGCATATACCGCGTAGATGGGTCTGGCAATAAGAGGGTTAAATTCGATAATAAATATATAATGCTATATATGGGTGAATTTAAAATAATAAACCTACATTTTAGTCTTTATAATACAATTTCTATAAAATAAAAAATATTCCTATATTGTAATATATATTTTATCAAATTAAACATTATGATTAACATAAATTATTATATTGTTTTTTTAAGCACTCTTTGTTAGCTATTATATTTTACACAAAAGATCTATAAAATGTTTCTCTAAAAAAATTTTCTCGTATCTCCAATAATTATTGAGATATCGGAAAAGAGATAAAACGTTAGAAATTTCACTTCCTACACTTGCCTTTCAGCAGACAAAAAGAATACGTGTCTTCTAATTTTGATTATTCTACAAATATGCTAAAGGAGGGAGACCATAAGGTCATTTTTATGTCTTCTCCCGATTTCCATTAAATAATTTTTATTTGTATTATATGATCATTAGGAATGTCAAAAAAAATCAGTAGATGAGAAAAACTCCATCTATAAAGCCATAATGAATTATAGTCTAAATATGCTATTATGATATCTAAGCCTTTTTCATGACTAATAAGTGAATTAATAAAATATTGTTCATTATACTACTCTGCTATCATATTAACATCAGTTCAGACTACAATGTCTATCGTCCCCAAGTTGAATTCAACTCGTCAACAAAAACGGTTTTATACCATATACACGGTGACCCATTTTAATCGACGGAGATATCTCCGAAACTACGCAACCTACGAAAAAAATGTTTGGATAAAAGTTGTCGAGGACAGTGGGGGTCATCTACCTGTACTAATGACCTTGAGGTCCGTTTTCAAGGTCATTTCAAGGTCAAGGTCACTTTTTTTAAATGGAACCCCCTATTTTTAATGCCGGATTCAGAAAGAGCGGGAAATTTTACATCCAGTTATGTATCAAAGTATAAGGTTAACGTGACCTGCATAGGTCAAGTGAAGGTCAAGAAACCACCCCTACCAAACCCCAAGCAGGTGCAGCAAACGTAAGAAAGATATTTCGTCACTTCAGATTTGATGAATTAATAGTTTTAAATGTTGCCCCGTACAGTTTAATCACAAACTTTTTGAACGAATTAAACTCTCTTTAAAGCCACTTTCTCAGTATGGCAGGCTACCTTGCAAATAAAATTAGTGATATGATAGTAGTTTGCCATAACAACTACCTTGGTACATGAAGGCTTTTACTAAATTTTTTCCAGATGAAAGACATCCTAACAACTGAGCAGTCCGAAACCTACCTCAATAAGCTCGTGATAGAAATCTGGTTCGACAACGTCGACATCATGAATACAACGAAAATAATGCACGAGCTTGTGAGTTAGTCTACTTGTGGATTGGAATTCAATTTATTTTAAAGAAAAAGAAACGATTAAACTCGCTGTTCCCAGAGTTAGGTGGTTTAGCCTGCTTGGGGTTTGGTAGGGGTGGTTTCTTGACCTTCATTTGACTTATGGAGGTCACGTTAACCTTATACTTTGATACATATCTGGATGTAAAATTTCCCGCTCTTTCTGAATCCGGCATTAAAACTAGGGGGTTCCATTTAAAAAAGTGACCTTGACCTTGAAATGACCTTGAAAACTGACCTCAAGGTCAAGGTCATTAGTACAGGTAGATGACCCCCACTGTCCTCGACAACTTTTATCGGAACATTTTTTTCGTAAGTTGCGTAGTTTCGGAGATATCTCAGTTTGTCGATTAAAATGGGTCACCGTGTAT